TGATTATGACCTTACTGTGAATTAAATATTAAAGAAAAAAAGTTAAAATGAGACCCTTTCCATTTGTTGGTTTAACATAAAAAAAAAATTCCATTTTGATTTCTGGTTTTTGTTTTCTTGTTCTTTTAATGTTTAGTTTATAGTAAAAGCGTAATAGTCTTTTTAAAAACTGCATTGGATTGAGGAGTCAAATCATAGTTATAAATGTTGTGGAGCCTATTTTTAACACTTCACAACAGTTTAGGGAGCTGGGCCCTAATTTTCTCAATAATTAAGTTCCTACCTGCAAGTAACTGCTTAAAAATTTATCTAAATTTCCTTTGAATTGCTTGTGGCCGTTCTCTTTATATTTCAATTTTTTGTTTTGAGTTTTGAATTCGTTTTGTATTTTATGTTTTGAGTATCTATTTTGAAATTGTTGAAAATGCGTTCTGTTTGTTGTTTTGGAAAACTGTTTCTGAAAACATAAAACTAGAAAACGCGTTTAATTTGAAATTTTGAGAATTTTTTTTTATAATATNTTTACTTTGAAATTTTGAGAATCTTTTTTTATAATATCTTATTCAAGTAATCTGATTATTCGATAAATTTTAATAGTTTAATGTTAATATAGTATTAAATAATAATGTTAATTTTGAAGTTGTTAAAGTTTGAAATATTTTTTCCACATATCAAAAATACAACCTAAATTTTAACATCCAAGTGGCTTGTTTAAATTTTGTAGCATTCAAATTCAAGAGGCAAAGTGCAGCTTCTACAACGTCTGTCACATTAACTCTCACTATTTGTACCTACAAAAGATGTAGCTTAAGAATAATAAGACGGTCTTCACATAAGCATAACTTTTAATGTGAAATCATATATATAATGAACACTTGTACATTCATAAAATTATGCATTTAGACATATGGCTTCAGGATAACAATAAGGGATGTAAGTGCCATGTGATCTTCATAAAAGTGTGAAAATAAAATTTCCTCACAATAGTAAGCTTTATAATTCCCACTGAATGGAAATACTTGTCATGCTTATATATTGAGGTTCCTCGCAATAAACTTCGCATGATCAGCAAGTTCAGAGCTTTTAGTTGATCCCTTTTTGTGTTATTCCAGTGGCTAGGTTAAACAATGGGGGAGAACCTTTTACTTAAACTAAGGTTGCCCTGTTTCTTTCTCTCAAAAGGGACCATGCACTGACATGTGCATTCACATTTACAGGCATAGCTGTTATCTTGCTGACAAGCCCCAACATTTAAGTTGTTGCGTTAACTAGTTTTGCTCTTCCATAATCTAAACTCATTTTGGTTGGTTGCTTCATTTTATTAATGGCACATTTAGGGACACCTATAAGAATACAGAAATCACAATTTGAGAAGAACTAACCAGTATTCATCTATAGCCAATACATCATAATACTCAAGCCCATGAAAAATTTATTGACCCTGGATGCATTTCACACCAATATAACCAGTATTCATCTCTACTCCAATCAATCCTTTTAATTTACTTGTGCATCCAAGTCAGCTATAGTGTGTACATCTTCTTACAGCCAAAAGTGTAAGCTGTCTAAAGTTAAATAACAAATCATTTTAACACATTTTCCTCTTTGAAACCTCCAATTTCCATTACATAGTACAGCACCACAAGTCAAAACTAACATCAAATCCTAATTGTATAAGCAAAACACCAATTTTCAAATTGTACTCTGCCAACATTGATATTTCAAAGAGCAAGCATCAATATACTGTATAAGCAAAACACCAATTTCTTGAGCTTGAATTATAGGCTTCCATCTCCATTGTTTATTCCCCTTTAACCACCACCAAAATTCTTTCACTGCTTCTCCTTCCAGCCAGACCCCGATCTCTTTCCCAGCAATGAATTAAACCAAACTGCAGGAAATATATTTCCAATCTAATCCACTATTTGAACAAAAAAAATTGCACACAACTTATTGAAAACAATATTTGGAAATCGAATCGAAATTGAGGCAATTCAATTACGAACCTTCAATAAAGATGGGGAGCACAAGAAACAGGTGAATCACGAACAACAGCAAAGAGAATCGCCAAGGCCCTAAGCATGAAATCTTCCAAATCGCACTTGGTTGAGCCCTCTACTCCGCCGACGATGGAGAGACGTTACTGTCAGCTCTCGAGAACGAAGCAATTTTCCCCCTACGCCTTCGATTGAGCTTCGTTTCTTCACGGAAAGGCAGAACATACCCTTTTCGAAAATGTCTCTGGTCTTACGGAGAGAGAGGGGTGAGGTGTTGTGAGATAGAGAAGAGTTTTGATAGATCCTGTTTCCTTTTTTTCCCCCCAGCTGTTTCGCACGTTTTGGTGTTTTCAGATTTTGCCCACAAAATTTACAAAACGATGTTTCAGCCATTTTTTGTTTTCAGGCTTAATTTTTTTTTTTTGTTTTCGAAAATGAGTTTTCGAAAATACAAAAGAGAACGCGTTTTCGTTATTTTGAAAAATCGAAAATGGCTTGAAAACAACAAAGAGAACGGGGCCTTAACTTGCGTGAGTTGCCATGAGGTCAAGATTTTGATAGATTTTACAAGAATATAAATTTTAATGAATTTCGTGGACTTTCATAAATTTTTACAAAATTCCTAAAATCTCATTAAAATTTGTGACATCTTAAAATAATTTTTTTATATGTATTTTTAGGTTTGAAATCCATCAAAATCTTTTAAAATCTCTCTATTATTAAAATCCATGAGTTATTTATCATACCTAAATTTTAAAGGATTAAATTGAAATTCATTAAAATCTCAGATGTGGACACTTAGATTTTAATGAATTTTCATTAAAATCTCAATTAGGGACACTTGAATTTAAAAAAATTAAAATCCATCAAAATCTAAATTAAGAACCCGTGATTTCCTGTCATTCTGTACGCCACCAATTTATATATATTTTGGTCGAGTGTAGCGAAGGTCACCCCACTCCATCTGCGTTATCGAACTTCAATTTACAGCAATCATATTGCTTACTTTTAATTTAATTGCAAATATATAATTCAGGTCATATTTTGTCAATCTATTTAATAGAAAAATAATGTTATTTATTCAATCATGCTACAAGTAAAGAAAATTAATTTTGACAATAAAGTTTGACAGACAATACGTGATGAAAATTGATTGGAAGATGATGTTAACATTGGGAGGAATTCTGTCAAAATTCTCTATACTCGTGACTTTTTCCTTATTTATTACCATTAAAGATGCTCCCTTAGTGTCACTGAAATGATAATGTCAATTAAATACTTAGATATAAGATGTATGACATCATATAGAGATAGATTAGCATTTCAAATTCAGTAATTGATAACTATTTATTTATTTTATAATAAAAGTTTCGATTAAAGTCAATTCCTACAAGTCTAACTCCTATCAAATATAATAAAAAATTTCTTTATCATATAATAATATATTGATTGTAAAAATCAATCATACATTTTTTTGTAAATCGTTACTTCAATACTAATGGATATGAAAGATGTTTAAGATGAAAAAGAATACCATGTTATAAAAAATATTCATCAAAAAAAGCAACTAATTAAAGTCTAAAATGGTGAGTGACTATTTAAACATCGAATAAAATCTGAAAATTTTCAATTAGCAATAACCTGCATGGTTGATGAACTTGGATAAGAAGTTTTTACGAAAATTGATTGAGATTTTTAAAATTTTCTCGAGTTCGTTGTATACTGGTCAAGTAGAGTGATTTGTATCGAATTGATAGTCAAATCAAGTTTTTGATTGAACCGTCGGGTCAGTTCGATTTTTTAGTCTCGGCCTATTTGTACAATAAAGCAAGAATTACATTTTAAGAAATTAATTTGTTAAGGTAAAAATGAGGAAAAAAAAAAGTAACTTTATGTTTAAAATAACAATGGAAAAAACTGTTTGTACACCAGGTGTACGTACACGTCTCACATAAATAGTGTGCGCGAATATATTATAGTGTGTGGGACCTCCCTCCATGAGAGGAAGGTGTAAAAAATTGTATGAATGATTATATTCATGTAGCATGATTGAATAATATATTTTATTGTGTGTGGGACCTCCCTCCATGTGAGGAAGGTGTAAAAAATTGTATGAATGATTATATTCATGTAGCATGATTGAATAACAATTGTTCCATTTGTACAGAAATTCATCTGTCAAAAAAGTGCCAGAAAACTCGCATGGGGTGGGCCCCATGTGAGTAAAATATTGCCAAAAAAAAAAAATAGGCCCAGCCTGTGTGTCTTGTCTGTTGCATTTCTGTACACACGGCATTCTTCTTAAAATAATTGACCAAATATGGTACTCAAACAATTTTCTTAGATTTCGTTTGAACTGTTTGACTTGTTTTACTGTCATTTTTGACGCCACCAATTTATCGCTTTCCTATTCATAGATTTTCCAGATACTTCAACACAGCCCATCATCCTTTTTTGATAGAATAATTCCTCAAGTACAGGCATTTTTTTACAGATTTTTTACAGAATTTTAAATTTTATCTCACATGATGTGGCCCCACATGAATAATATATTGATAAAAATCACACCCCACCCCACCCATGTTGTGCCTTGCCTGGCAAGTACAGGATTTTTAAAATCCTGTACTTGTAGCATTGCTCTTTTTGATATCTATCCATCTATCTGCTAAAATGCGCGTAATGCGCTGTCCTCCACTTGTCTCAGACCCCTGCTCCCACAGACCCCCAGCCAATAGGGGGGCGCCCCACCCTGTTCAAGGAGAATAATACCTTAAAAAAGCTGTTTTTTTTTTTTTTTTGCAGAAATCGCGTTTTATCTCTCTACACGTTTCATCCTCGGAATTTACTGACTATTATAAGCTTCTCTCTGTACAAAAAGTCAAAAACGCTAACCGTCCTTCCCCCTTCCCAAAAATAAGTTCCATCTCTATGCCTATTCCCCTCGTATAAATCAACCAGCCGTGAGCACATATCATTTATCAAACTTACTGTAATAATTAAATTATGGAGTTTTCAAAACGTTACTGTTTATTCTCTGTCCTTTTGTTTGTATATGTTCAACACTTCGCCGCCGTGAATTCCATCGGAGTTAATTACGGCACCCTTGGAAACAACCTTCCACCGCCGGCTCAAGTTGCACAGTTTCTCAAGGAGAAAACCACCATCGACAGAATCAAGCTCTTTGACGTGAACCCAGATATTCTCCGGGCATTTGCCGGCACCGGAATCTTCGTGGCCGTCACTGTTCCGAACGGAGAAATCCCAAACCTCGTTGACATCAGGTATGCTCGTAGGTGGGTGGGTAGCAACATTAAACCATTCTACCCACAAACTAAAATCAACTACATTCTTGTGGGGAATGAAGTACTCCATTGGGGACCTCAAAATTTTATCGATAATCTAGTTGCCGCCATGAGAAGTCTTCACTCAGCACTCATCCAATCTGGGATTAAAGGTGTTAATGTTACAACGGCTCACGCTTTGAGTATTCTTGAATCTTCCGATCCGCCGAGTTTGGCCAAGTTCCGGCCAGGTTGGGATATTGGAGATCTAGCCCCTACCCTGCAATTTTTACGTGAAACAAGGTCTCCATTCATGGTGAATCCATATCCATATTTCGGATACAGCCCAGAACAGGCAAATTTTGCACTCTTCAAACCGAACCGAGGTATGCGCGATAGATATACAAAAAGAACATACACAAACATGTTCGATCAGTTGATCGATGCAGTCTACATTTCCATGAAGAAATTGGGCTATGGCGATGTGGATATTGCTGTAGGGGAGACTGGTTGGGCTTCTGCTGGGGACAGTTTTGAACCGAAATGTACTATTCCAAATGCAGCTTCTTACAATGGGGGTTTGGTGAAGAAGTATAATCAAGGAATTGGGACGCCATTGTTGCCCGGAAGGAAGTTTGAAACTTATATTTTTGCACTCTTTAATGAAAATCTGAAGTCTGGTGTTACATCTGAGAGGAATTTCGGTTTGTTCCATCCAGATTTTACACCTGTTTATGATATTGGTATCATGCGAGGAACCACAGGCGTGCCTGATCAGGTAACTTCCAACATCATTAAACTTTACAAATCTACAATTTTTATCATATAGATTATAAGTTTATTCCCTTATTTTCTTGTTTGGTGATGGCCAATATAAATTTCGTTCAAGTTATAGGATTAGGAAGGGGAGAAAAAATCAAACCAAACCAATTGTTTTCTCGATAAAATAATTGTACACTTAAATTCAAATTTTTTTTTTTTTTTAATTAGCTACAAAATGCATTATCTGTCACCAAGCCTGGCTATTTATCATTTCTCTACCCAAAAAGGGTAGGTGACAGGATTTTAAAAAAGGGACAGATGTCCGTGCTTGATTGGACAGTTTGAAAAAAATATCAGGTGCTGACACGTAGTATCTGTTTCCTGTCACCAACCCTGGCTATTTATCATTTCTCTTATTTGTTTATTAAAGAATCTGTGCATTATTATTGAAATTTGAAATGCTAAGATAAGAACTTCGAGGTACCATGTGCCTGATGATAAAGAAACACTTTAATTGATTGTCGTAGGCATCTTGTTACTTTCATTTTGAATCTTGTCGACTTTCGACCCGTTACACTTTATTCTGGCACCAATTATTCTTTTCTTTTTTATACTTTTCCAATGTAGCCGAGCTGCTTTACAGCTCACGACTCAATAAATTTTGATGCCAATTATATGATTTTTTTGTAATTAAATTCTGTTGATGCAGCCCGGCCCAAAGCCCACCCCATCGGTTTCAACACCACCAACAAAGGGCAACCAAAAATGGTGCGTGCCGAAGGCTGAGGCCACCGATGAACAACTACAGTCCAATATAGACTTTGTGTGCAGCCAAGGTATGGATTGCGGGCCGATTCAACCCAAGGGTGATTGTTTCAACCCTAACACGAAACGGGCTCACGCATCTTATGTCATGAATTCTTGGTACCAAAGCAAGGGTCGTAATGATTTCGACTGTAATTTTTCGGGCACCGGCACCATCACCACTTCTGACCCAAGTAAGTAAAATACTTTGGCCCTGTTTGGTATAGAAAAAAAAATCAAATTTTTTATAGATTTTGATTCATAGAATATGCTATTAAAAAGTTTTGGATCCTATGGTTAAAATTAATTATTGACTTCAGGGGTGGACCCAGGAAGGAAGTTCAGTGGGTGCGAAATAAAAAAAACTTGTAAACAAATCTGAAAACCTAAAAAAATCTGGAAAAAAAATTTGAAAATCTGAAGAAAAACGGGGAATTTAAAAATTGAGTGAGGGCGGCGGACCCTACTGGGCCTCAGGTAGGTCCGCCCCTGATTGACAACTTTGATTCTAATAAACTTTTTTAGTTGAATCGGACATGGCTTTAAATCTATGAATTGAATTGATGATATGTATATTACATTTTTGACCACGAGTGACATTCTAATGCCGTTTCACTTAACCTACAAATCGTACTTCTAAACGACACATAAAATATAATATTTGAACATGAAATGCTAGATTTTGTGCATGACATTGCAGCACCACCAGCCTATGTCCTAAATTTAATCTTACAAAATCAACTGGCAATTCTTATTCAATGCAATTAATTGTTTTTAATTCTACATTTATTTATTTTTGTCTTCCTCAGGTCATGGGCCATGCTCGTTCCTTTCTTGAATGCGGAAGATGCTTCAGATAATATAAGTTTGATTCAAGAATGTATCGTAATTATTAGTTATTTATATTATGAGCAAAAGAATGTAATTCTTCATTCTCTATTGAATTTCCTTTTAGAGATTTTTATTTGAATTTGAGTCACTAATATCGTCAGAAATTCTATAAGGTATGACACCTCAGAGTTATTAATTATATAAATTTACAATGCGACATGAATAAATAATTTTTTGGGTTTATTTCTTGGTGAAATTGCAAACTCTTGCTAAAGCATGTTCTATTTGCTGTTTTCAAATCATTTTCAGTTTTTGAAAATATTGAAAACACGTTTACTTATCTATATTCAGAAATAAATTTCCAGAAAACGAATTTAAAATTTACCAAGAAAACAGAATGCGCCAAAAAAGTTATTTGAGCTATTTTCAATTAAGATCAAGTCAAAATTTCATTTTTTTTATTTTTGAAAACAATTTTTCAAAATGACAAAAAAAGAAAAAAAATCGCGTTTTTAGCAATCTCAAAATGGACATTCAAAACACAAAATTTAAAATGAATTAAAATCTCAAAATTAAAAACTGAAATACGAAGAGAACAATCCCTAAGAGGTCGTTCTCTTTAGGGGTGGGCGCGGGTCGGTTCGATTCGGTTCGGTTCGATTTGGTTTTTTTCGGTTCCAGAAATTTTCGGGTATTTAGTAAATGGAACCGTCGGTTCCAAATATAATTTTGGAACCATTCGGGTTCGGTTCGGTTCGGTTCCGTACTATAATTAAATTTTTTAACATTTAAAATAATATATTTGAGTCACTAATATCGTCAGAACTTCTATAAGGTATGACATCTCAGAGTTATTAATTATATAAATTTACAATGCGACATGAATAAATAATTTTTTGGGTTTATTTCTTGGTGAAATTGCAAACTCTTGCTAAAGAAGGGCATGTTCTATTTGCTGTTTTCAAATCATTTTCAGTTTTTGAAAATATTGAAAACACTTTTACTTATCTATATTCAGAAATAAATTTCAAGAAAACGAATTTAAAATTTACCAAGAAAACAGAATGCGCCAAAAAAGTTATTTGAGCTATTTTCAATTAAGATCAAATCAAAATTTCATTTTTTTTATTTTTGAAAACAAATTTTCAAAATGACAAAAAAAGAAAAAAAAATCGCGTTTTTAGCAATCTCAAAATGGACATTCAAAACACAAAATTTAAAATGAATTAAAAACTCAAAATTAAAAACTGAAATACGAAGAGAACAATCCCTAAGAGGTCGTTCTCTTTGTGTTTCAGTTTTCTGTTTTGAGTTTTGAATTCGTTTTGTATTTTGTGTTTTGAGTGTCTATTTTGAAATTACTGAAAATGCGTTCTTCTTGTCATTTTGGAAAACTGTTCTTGAAAACACAACTTTAGAAAACGCGTTTACTTTGAAATTTTGAGAAATTTTTTTAATCGTATTTTATTCAATAAATTTTAATAGTTTAATGTTAATATAGTTGAAAATAACATATAAATTTTGAATTAGAACCATCATCGAAAGTCTGAATCGTATATACACTTAACCACTGCAATTTTCAAGAATATGAAGATCAAATTATGAGAATAATTGGCTTGATGATTGAGAGAGGAATGAAGTAAAATGTATTGAATTTTACATACTTTGAAAAACTATACAAAGGACCGGTGAATATATAAAATGCTTTAGGCTATTCTAAAAGAACATATATACACAATGCATATACATAACAGAAAATACAACTAATTCCTAGCTAATACAGAGTTCCTCTTTCTCCATGGATGACTGTGTTGCTGAGTCTTCAATTCATATGTTTGCTAGTTTTTCAAAAATTAATCAAAAACATCCTTCAAGGAGTTTGACAGATTTGAGATTAATTTCCTTGAAAAAAAAAATTATGGGAATTTTTTTTGTCAAATCTCGGCATATCCTTGATCCCTATTATATCTTAATTCTGCTCCATGCCAATCATTCTAACTTTCATGTCTAATAGTTCAAGAGTACCATGTATCACATTACTGGCAATTTAAGGATTAGTAAGCTATTATCTATCATGTGCAAAATTACAGACAACTTTCTCTAAACAAAGAAAAATAAATAACTGCCATTATCTTATAATCACCATAAATGTTTACTAAAAACAATAACAATCTAACAAAAGTACCATGATAAAAATAACTATGAAAAGAATAGGGTCGCTCTACAAAGACCCCACAAATAAAGCAACAGGCAAAGATCAATGTTGCAAAGCATAAACCTTTATACTCTCAGGCAATTCCCTAGTCCTAATATTCGAGTACTGCTCATCCAAAAGCAGCAACCTTGTCGGTCCCCTCCATTTTTTGGCAAATTCCTTTCCTAACAAACTACTCATGTCCTCTCCTTCACTGACATCTTCCTCTATAACCACCTCCAGCAGTGCCATTTCTTTCATCCCAACCCCTCTTTTCTCTCTTGTATGACCATTATCACTATTCACTCCATCCTTTTTTTCTTCTTCTTTTTGGGCCTAGAAATTTTTGCCAAATTCCTAAACTTCAGAATCATCGTCACTTAGAATATATGTAGGGAGAAGGGTGCAGGGACACAACCATGTTTCTGTTCTGGGCATAGCAACTACAAGTTGATGTTCCAATCGATCAGAATCAAAGGCCTCTGGATTTTCAGAAGTGAGCCTGATTAGATTTTCCTGAACAAGAGTCATTCCGGTCAATATGCAACTCAACATAATCTATCATGAATATTAGCATATAAACTAATGTAAGCATACTATCAACAGAGTGAAATTGTCCTGTCTTCATTTTTACTTAAAATTTAGAAGGGCTCCTTTTGTTTCTCTTTCTTAAGCCATACAAGAGTTCACCTGCAAGGCTCTAGTTTCTAGTTAGGTGAGCCCACATATTGCAAACTCTAGTTCAAAAAATTGAAAAATTAAAAATAAGAAAATCGTTGGAAGAGTTAATAAGATGGATGCAAGGTCATTGAAAAATTTCTTGTGAATTGAATTTTATTCTATAGCAAAAGCTTATGCTGAAAAATCAAGGATCAGCCACAAATTTAATATTAGATTTCAAGCATATGAAAATAGATACCGCTTTCTGTATTAAATTAGATAGC